TAAGATTTCATATTATGGAAAAAAGTTTCCTCTGTTCCATTTTTTTTTATAATAAATCCATATGAAATTTTAAGAGACACCACCCATTGGGTTCTTCTAGTGCATAACAAGCGAAGTGACAACAGTCCATGTTCATTCACCTACAAAAGCTAAGCATTGTCAAATCTTCATTATTGTCGTCAGCTGCTTTTGATTTTATGACCCACAAAATAGATTGTGTTTCTTGCTTTTTTCGTGGTGGGAAATGAAGTAGCTCTTGCATAATGATCTTCTTCTTTTTATATACATATGTATATATTGTATGCATATACAGACAAAACAGTAGAAATTAAATTTTACTGTTCTGTTTCAGCGTGAGCAAAGAATCAAAACAGGACCAGCATTTTGATCCAATACGTGCATATATACACATGAAAGAAAAACTACCATTAGAATCAATTAAGAAATGCAATTCAAAAGGTTGAAAAGTAAAGAAATCCAAAATCTAATTCCTCCTAAACTTATTAATCCAATCCATATATGCTCTGTTTTTTTTTTTTTCCTTTCTTTTAACAACTTCAATAGGAAAAACAGAGGAGAAGAACACATTATGCATATTTATTTTCAGAAACGTATATTCAATGATTAATTACTATGAGCATTTAACAGGCAATCAACGGAGACCGAAAACCAGCTTGTCAAATACTGAATTCCATATTTAACACAAATATTAAAATTATTGTAGAAAAAAAAAAAAAGAAGTAGACGCATCCCTCAAATTCAAACAACAGAAGAGGGGAAAAAGAGATCGTACATTGAGCTGGCCGGTATAGCCTTTCCTGACAGTCTCGCTCTCGTGCCAAAGCTTATCAAAGAAGAGAAACCTCCTGAGTCCGTACTTCCTGACAAACCTCGAGAGGCAAACAAACGACAGCGTCGCGACGCTGCTGAGTGATACCTGGACGACGGTGTCGTACGGGCGACCATGCTTGGCATCGCAGGTGTCGCAGGCAAGGACGAAGTGCGACGCGGCGGGGACGACGAGCGCGAAAACGACGAACACCGACCACGACAGACACGCCGTCCAGACATTAGATTGGTCGACGCACAGCCATTTTAGATACTTCCTGAAGCTCTGGAGCTCGTCCTGAGGATGCGATATGCACCTCTTGAATCTGGAATTCTGATCCACCAACGGCTCTCTCTTGTCGTCCCCCATGATTACGCTGATGGTTCCGCTATAATACTGTTTGATGAGAAGGGCGATTTGCCCCCTTCAAATCTTTGATCTTATTTCTATCCTTCGATTTGATGGGGAAGATGGTGAGTTCGTTGAGTTGATGGTTCGTGCGAGTCGGGGAGGAGGAGGAGGATCGGAAGGTACATTTAAGCTGTTTCTGCACTTTGTTTCTGTTTTTAATTTGTGAGGAGTCTCTCACGCGCTTATCTTTGCGGTGTAGAACACGATCCAATAAGAACAAGGAAAGTGGCAGTAGAATTTCATCATCTAAAATAAAATATTTTTTTTAAGTATTGGATGAACATGAATGGAAGGCATTAAGGTATTAATTAAATTAAGCGTCACGCAAATTTGTGCTTAAAGCAAGCATGGAATTATTAGAGACAATGACATAATGAAATTTGAACACAGTATGGATTTTAATTTGTACATTATAAACATAATAATTATAAGCATAATAATTAAAAAATGTTAATAAAATAATAATTATACAACCAAAACCGTTGTTGTAATCAATATTTTCTACTTAAATTTGAACTTAAAATTTGTTTATAAGGAAATAAATGTTTGTTAACAAAATTTTATTTTAATAAATTAAATAAAATTTTAGGGTAGCAAGCAGTGACACTCCAATATTATCTACTACTATTTTTAAAATTAAATTAAATGTAACAGATATTCCTGATAATTACACTAAATACTACTTGAATTTTAATTATATAAATATAATAATTATTACCATTAATCCTTTATGTCTGACATTACAAAATTTGTTCCAGAAAAAATAAAAAATAAAAGTATACAGCTGTTTGGTGGGACCATAACATGCAAGCCACAGAGCCATGGAGCCGCACCACCATTCACGCAGATGACGAACATGACAACACCGCCCTGATTTGATCGTGAATCATAAAGATAGCCACGTATATGTATGTGTGTGTGTGTATATATATATATATTAATCTATAATAGATGCCACCTTAATTAATATTTAATACTGATTAATCTATTTTTTTATTTCTTTAAAAAAAAAATTAAAAACCAAACTTATCATAATTTACCAAAACCCACAACAAATCCGTGGAACACTTGTTGGTAGTTGATTGACAGAAATCTAATCAGGGATGACTTAAACAACAATATAAATATATAAATTAGTTTAAATTAATATTCATGGTCAACTCAGCTGTTTGGCTTTTGTGGCTGTGTGCAAGAAAATGACTGGTTAAATTACATATATATATATATATATGTGTATAATGGATCAAAATCATATCATATACCCATTTTGGCTTTACACCTGTTTGATTATATATACATACATGTTAGAGAAGTTATGTGAAAATTTGTCTCAAACCTAACATTACCAGATTAATTCCTACCAGTTCAATGATTAACAAATCAAGTCTGTTGAGGAAAGGAACTCAGAACTTATCTTATGCTATACTTTCTTTCCAAGTAAATTTTAAATTTTTACCTATACATATTGTTTGAATGAGATTGTATATTACCCAATCAATATTATAAATAGTAAATTATTTAATTAAATTATAAAATTCAATAATTACTACAATTTAATCCTAAATATTTTCTTCTCTACAAATTAAGAAATTGAATCGGTTAATACTTTAATTTAAATTACTTCAACAAGTCCTCCCAAAAAAAATTTACAGATCCATTTAAACCTTGCACTTCCGCGGACCAGCCCAAACAGTACCGATTTCCTGTTATCATCATAATGACGTGACGCAAACGTCACGTTCCCACTACTCGCGTTCATCTTCCTCCACATCCACGCCCACGCCGTCGACCGGCCACCGGGACCGAACCAAACCCTACCGCCGATTTTCACGTCGAACCTTACTGCTCCTTCACTCCTCAAATCCGCATCCATCTCACCACATGTCTCATTGTTCGTCGGCGGTACGGACGACGACCCATTAACCATGGTCGCCGCCATCGCCCCCTGCGTCCTCGCCGGCGAGTAGAACGATGGCATTGCCAGCGACAAGGCGAAGTTTCCTTTTGTGGTAAATAGAGACGCTGAAGGTGTTGGTGTAAGTGGCGAAGGCAGCGTTCCAGTTAGGGTTCTTGAGCAGGAAGACGATTGTTATGTCCGGGGAAGAAGATAAGAGGAAGTGGGACGCGTTGATGGAGATGGCGGGAGGTTTGGGGAATCAGAAGGAGAGTGAGATGAGAGAGAGAACGAGGAATGAGAGTAGCAGGACGAGCAGGAAGGAGACGACGATGGTGCAGAGCAGAGGTGAGAGTGAGACAGGACGTGTCAATGGCGGGTGATTCTCATCGTATTCATTTTCGTCGTTCATTTTCTTTTTGGTGATGGGGAAGTATTTTGCAAAGCCGAAATGGAATGAAGTTGAAATATATTCTTAATTAATTAAGAAAAAGATCGGAGATTAATTAATTAATTAATTAATCTCCTTTCAGTAATTATTATACTCGGAAAATATAGAAGGTAATAAACCAGCATCTTAATTACAATAATCCCTTAATTATGGATATAAGTGTATATTTACGCATTATTTTCTCATTTATTTATTTATTTAGTAAGAAAATATGTCAAACCTTGCCTCATAATGTGTAATTAATTAGATTATTGGACCTATTTCCTCTCTTAATTTTTAAATTATATTTGTATGCATGTGGGTGTATATATATAATATCTTTAAAGAATATCTCCACAATTATGTAGTAATTATAAAAAATTATTGATTTTAGTTAAAATTTAAAATATATATAATAAAATAGGGATATATTCAGATAAATATGATAAAATTTTGAAGAAAATAGAATTATAATACCAAAGTGATCAATATCACCTTCAATTCAAGTTAAATTTTTAATAAGTGACAATAAAAATTTATAATTATAAAATAAAAAATATAAATAAAATTAGTTCTAGAGTTTATGAATCAATTCTATATATCAAATTAAAAAAGTTGAGATAAAATTCAAAATATGATGTAATTAAATCAAATATATTAAATGATTTTCATAAAATATTAAAAGCTATATTAAGAAAAAAAAAATAACATAACAATAACTTATAAATTCATACTTAATTTAATTAGAAGAAAATATAAATTAGATTAGAAAGACAAAATAATTAAATATTTGGAATTGAAATAATATATTATAAGCTTCATCAACATTAAATGGAATTAAAATCAAAATTTCTCATTCACCAATTCAAGTGTGAAGTAGGATTCTTTGTACGTATACAAAGCCTATGATTTGTACAGAGAGAAAATGACCCTACAGTTTCTTGAACCATCTTCTACCAAGCTGATACTTCCATCTTTCTCAACCAAAACCCTAGCCTGCACATTCTCACACTTCGCCATCACGCTTTGTTTTCCCCACATCCATTTTGAACCAGGCTTGAACCAGACCTTACCGCCAATCTCCACATTGAACTCCACCGCTCCTGCTTTAAACCGATCCACTTCCATCTCAAACGCCGCCTTCTCTTCAATGGCCGTCGGAGCTCTCATCTCCACCGTACTCACCACCGTCTTCTCGCTCTCTTTCTCCAGACAAAACGATTCGACCTCCGCCGACCACAGCCGCTCCTTCTTATAATAAACCGCTGTCACTATTTCACTGTACGATATCTGGAGTCGCCGGTTAGGATTTCGGACCAGAAATTTCGTCTTCCACGTCGCACTCATGTTCCAATTCGAGTAAGGAGAAGGAAGAGAAAAAGAAATTGTGAAGTTGGAGACCTCCATAGACTTGAACTCAACCGTCGGCTGATTAGGAGTTAGGAGAATGATTAAAGCCATGCCGAAGAACAACATCATCAGAATCGACAAAGTGAGTATTGATTTAAGTAAACGACGCCATGGAAATTTATTCAAGCACTGATCACGACAATTATGGCGCAAGAAATTACAGGTACAACCATTGTCTTCATCCAAATCATATTCCCGTTTCAGTAATTCTTCATCCATATCGCTAATACTTTGATACCTCATTATACAGCTTAATTACTGAAGATTAATCACGAAGATATTGTTAAAGAGAAGAATTAAAACTCTTTCTCGCTTACTAACAAAGTTACTTATTTGGATTTCTTCTTGCATTTTGTGTTGGTGCGTATATATACTACAGAATTCATCTCATCCTTTTCAAATTAGATGTCCGAACCAGATCACAATTAGAATTCCTAATACATTAATATTAACTCGGTTTTTCCTTAATTCATCCGTAATCACTAAATAAATCTTGAATGTTTACTCGTTTTTAAACTTTGAATTTCCCTTTTACAAAAATTCTTGAATACATGTTATCGCATTTAATTAAAAATAATTTTAAAAAATGAACAGAAATTAATTTCTAATTTTACTTTTATATAAAAAGTACTTGTTAAAAAACTGATTGGTGGAAAAAAAAAAAACAATTAACTTCAACTTATATATTAGGTTTAGGGTTCCTTGAATTCCTTCATCTCATCATAGATATACAAAAACTCACAAAAATATTTTAATTGCTAAGATTGCAAGATTAATTCGTTTCTCTTTCTTCCCCTGCTCTCATATTTTCAGTCCATGGAGATGGATAAATGTAAGAGTTCATTACATGATTTGTCATGTCCAAACTTTGGATAACCCAATTTAAGTCATGGACAAACTCAAAGAGAGCTAAGCACAGCCCACAAAGGATAACACAGCCCACCATTGCTTCCTGCCTAGATATACTCTCATGATGAATATGATCATCTTTGATAAGAATAAGAATATGAATAGGGAAAAATCGCAGTTCTCTTTTTTTGTTAGTTGACTTTATTTTATCCTGAACTTTGTAATTTTTTTTAACTGTTTAATGTTAATGTCTTAGTTAGAAATAATTTTCAAACCTTATAATTTAACGGTAAAATAGTAGTGCTCAGTAATTAATGTTGTAAGCTTAAGTTTATTGGGTAACATTATAATTGACATTCTTGGAATAAAAATTTTTCAAAAAAAAACTCAAAAGTTGAATAGCTTAAAATTAAAAAATATCTTAAAATAAGATAATAACATTAAAAACCAGTGATTGCATATAATTTGACAAAAGAAAATACGTAATCTATACTGAAAACTCTTCAAGAAAAAAGATCACAGAGTCATAATTATGTTTTAAGACCAAAATCTCCCATATAAATTAGAATTTAATTTAAGAATATGCCAAAGGAAGTTTATTTTGAATTTGAGAGATTCTTTCAGGCATTCGAAGTCAAAAATGGGCAACGAACTGACATTCTCTCTGGGCACGTTTGCTTTGTGCATAATCATTGCAAATAATGAAAGATCAAAGACTTAGAAACAAAGGGTTCTTCTCTTCTCCCTGAAGAAAGAATTGCATGAAGATGAAGAAGCAAAGAAGCAAGCTTCTCAATCATTGAATTGTTTCGGTCCATCTGGTTGGCCGATTCAATTTAATTGCTTCAACTCCAAATTTCATAGGAAAATTTTTACCAAAATGGAACCAATGAATTTCACGGGCAAACCATGTCAGAGATGATTTTACACACCCACCACCCCCCATGTAAAACATGACTCTGGGCAGAATTTTGAACGAACCCTAAACAAGTCAAGTTCATCAACCACTCCAACTAATAGTCTTGTTGGTTTAGTTCAAGCACAGTCGAGTTAGATTACCAATAAAAGCAGGTTTCGGCCATCTTAATACACCAAAATAAATTGATGTTTCTCAACCTTTGTCACTTCAGTAATTTTCCATTCAGAAAAATAGTGGTACCAAACTGCAAAATCTTAAGGTGGTTCAGTCACTACAAGCCATGGCTATTGCCTATTGGCTCCTCTCTCCTGGTGAGTCTTCCTGGAAGCATCTTCAAACCGAAACTGACAAAATCACAGTACAATTAAGAAATTGCCATGAAATCATCAACCAAACCTAATTTCTTTTTTTTGCCCTCTAATCCAGCCTCATAATTTCACCAGATTCAACCCCTACCCAAATAATTTCATCACCTTCAACTCAAAACTCCAGAGACTTAAACATAAAGTTCTTAACTTCACAACATCAAACCTAAAACAGATAATTTTCTCAACCGCCCATGAATTTACTATATCAAATCCAAAACCTCAAGGCTCGTTAAAATTGCTAGGTGTCATTAAAGCTAGATGCTCTTGACAAGAAAACCTAATCCAAAGTGCAGTATTTCTTCAATATTAAGTATATTTGTTCATAGCCCAATTAAACTGCCAGGTATCTTGATTTCAAGACCAAGTAAAAGCAAGATAACAAACAAAAAGGTGCACCAATACGTAGACTGGATTTCTCAGATAAATAATCTACCACTGAGCTTCGGATAAATTAGGGTAAATTTTATGGTAATCTCGTAGACATTTACAACTAGGCATGTTGGCTCTGAGTCACCATAGTAGCACCCAACGAGGAGATTTCAGAGTGCTAGTCACCCCACCCAAAGCATATTCAAACTCATGCCAAGGGCAGATTGCGATTAGCCCCAACCAGTCCAAATAAATTTAGCAGACACAAAAACTAAAGAAATAAAGATTAAAAAAAAAAAAAAAGTACAAGATGAAATAACGTAGCTTCTCCTCCTATAATAAAGAGATCTGCTCTTATCCACAATGAAGAAGCCAAACAACTCAAAAGATAATCCGTTCGAGAAGCCAACAAAATCCATTATCCATGAATGTCCAACAAAATAAAACGTCTAGAAAAAAAATCTAATGAAAGTTTTGAGGAAGAAATGGAGATTTAGAACTATCATTGATTTAGATTTTTTTACAGGGATGATTTATAACAAGAAGTTAAAGAAAACCCAGATCTCATCTCATAGCATACACAAACCCTAATCCATCATCGTCATCATCAACATATTATCGTCATGGTACAACAGTAAGAACATAGTAAGAAACGCTCTTGAACCAGAGCCCCCCATGAGGGTGGCAGCTGGGAAGGATCATGTTCGTAGATTGCAGACGATTTCATCTCAATCTCATCTGATAATCTTTCAGTTTTTTCTTTCTTTTTCCCGCATATAAAAGAAAAAGAAGATAACAAAAAAATCTCAAGTAAAAAAAAAGATTGAATCATAGATCATCATCATCATCAATAATATCATGACAACAACAAAAACAACATCATCATCCATCAGAGACATAAAGCGGTGCACTGGAGATCATCACCGGCGAAGTCATCCAACGGCGGGAAGTTGAGATCGAAAGGCAAAGGTTGTTTCCGGCAAGAAGATGACGCGATATCGTCTCCGTCGTCGACCACCGAAGATGACGAGTCACAGTCGCTGTGGCAATCCTCCGGCACCACGGGTGGCGTTCTCGGGTACCTCCTCCCCGCCGTCGTCGTCGCCTGATGATTCGCCGCGGAAGACGGAGGCCTGGGCCCACTGAAAGACTCCACGGTGCTGCTCATGCTGCTTGTCGTGGGTCTCTGGGGATTAACAATCTGGTGCTCCGGGAAACTTCCGGCGCCGTATAATCTGTGATCCATGAAGGGATCGCCATGGTTGTTGTCGTTGTTGTTGTTATTATTGTTGTGAGGAGATGGGTAAGGGAAAGAACAAGGATGTCGAGAGCCGCAACCGATGGGGAAGTTGGTTTTCGCCTTGGGTCCTCGGAGACTCCGAGCCGCCGCGTCGTATGCACGCGCCGCGTCCTCTGCGGAGTCGAATGTGCCGAGCCAGACCCGCGTTTTTTTCCACGGGTCTCTGATCTCGGCGGCGAACCTCCCCCACGGTCTCTTGCGGACGCCTCTGTATCTTGGTTCTTTCACAGATCCGTTCTGGTCCGTCACAGGCTTCGCGGCCGCAGCGGCGGCGACGGCAGAAGCAGCGGCTGCTCCTCTCCCTCTCCTCATGGTATAAAAAAAAACGAGAAGAAAACAAGAAGGAAGACCAAAAGGACACGTCGAGTTGCAGAGAGAAGAAACTAAATCGATGATGTAAATCCACCAAAGTTTATTAACAATCAAGGCTTCATAAACCGAAGATATGTAATTTGAGGGAGAAGAGAAAGAAAGAGAGAGGAAACAGAGAGTATTGACGGGGAAGGGGAAAGAGGGAGCGAGGGATGAAGAAGATGATAGGTGGGATGGGAACTGGATGGCACCAGCAGGCAGGCACCTTCTCTTCTACACAAAAATGATTTATTTTTTTCCATTTTTTCTATTTATTTTTTATTTAAAATTTTTAAAGGCGTGTTTGGTTCCACTTTAATCTTAAAACTCTTTGAAAGAAATAAACTTTTTTTTTTTTTTTTTTTTTTTTTCTTTCTTTCTCGAATTCTCTAATGACTAACTTTCTCTCGGGTCGGGGCCCCACACACGAACCGAGTCCGATTCAATTGCCTCTTTTACAAGGGAATTGGAAAATAATCTTGAGGTTTGAAAAGACTAAAATGCCCTCGTCTTCCAATTAATGCTTTCCCAGAATTTCTTTTTTTCTGTGTGCTCCTTTTGTTGGGGTTGGTTTATTTCATCAACTCTCTCTTCTATGCATTTCTTTTTTTTTTTTTTAATTTAATTTTAAAAAATTTATAAACATACAAATGGATTAATATAATTGCCAAATTCACTTAATAAATTTATATAATTATCATAATTAATTTATTATCTTGTGGATTACATAATTTATATTTCGGTTTTGTGAAAAATGATCTAAAAACAAAATAGACCACAACAATTTAAAAATAGTTGAATAATTAAAATTAAATTTTTGGAAAACCACAACCATAGATTTATATTTATTTATTAAAAAAAAAAAAAATTGAAGCAAGTTATCAACTAAGCCAAGCAAGCCTGACAGTCTTTTGACAGGCCTCTTTATACACATGTTTGGCAGAACCATAATCCAGTTTTTCTTCTTTCTTTTTTTTGAAGTTATTTCTTTGATAATAATTTTCTGGGTTTGGTTACTTAGTTACTCAATGTTTCATTTTGCTTCTTTCATTTTTTTCACCTACTTGTGTTTTTCTTTTTTTTTTTTTTTAAAAAAAAATTATACTTTTAAGCTTTAACCCATTTCAAATCTTTGGTTGATTAATGTCTTACAAAATATATGTATGTAGTTTATTAAAAATAAGATGTATGTATTCGCATAATATAACAAATTTTAGAACGATAATAATAAAAATATAAAATAATGACAATAAATTTTGAAAATAAACTTGCTGACATAACGGTAGACGCAATATTGTTTTTCCCTCCTTCAATTGCTCGCAAATCGTGCACCAAAATTTGCTTTTGACCCACTTTCTTCTTTGTATTCTTTTTAGACTTTTTTTTTTTTTTTTTTTTTGTATTTTTAGTTTATTTATTTACTCTTTACTTTAAACTAAATTTTCCTTTTTTGGGTGATTATCTCTTAAACAAGTCATAAGTTTAATGTTTGATTTTTAATTATTAATAAACCTAAGTAAAATCAGGCATAGTGATAATAAGTTTTATTATGATCATAACTATTCAATGTTCGTACTAG